ACCCTATGCTGGGAATTTCCCATTGCTTGCATATATTTTTGAGGCCTAGTTGAACAACATTCTCAATAATGCCCCTACAGATTTGGAACTCCTCTCTAGTAGTAAACAAAGGATGCCAACTTCAGCAATAAGCCATGCAGTTTAGATATTATCAAACTAAGCTGTACTCATTATCTTGCTGTAGAAAAACCTGATGTCATGCTGCCAGCAATGAGGGTGCCGTGAACAAAGAGAATTCTAGTAGATCAGAAACTAAAGTGATAAGATACAAAAAGAAACGTAAGGTATAAAAAAAGAAAGACTTACTGATGGTGAGTTCAGGAGCCAGTGAGCTTGGGGCAAGAGCTGGCAAGAAAACATTTATTTTATTGAAATTTTTCGTTTTGATTCTGACAAAGAGTGACCCAAATAAATTATATATGATCGCCTCCTGGGAGGGTTCCAAGACTTGGCACAGTCTATGGAGGGAGAAGTAGCTTCTGATTATGAGGAATTTTTACAAACCAAGATATTGCTAGGACTCTATCAAAAGCAAAGTGGGCCCTATACCTGCAGATCTAATCTGTGGACAGCCCTTGATGATGGTGTGTAAACTGCACTGTGTAGAGCAGTGGTCCTCATCCTTGGGCCTCCAGATGTTCTTGGACTTCAACTCCCAGAAATCCTGGCCAGCAGAGGTGATAGTGAAGGTTTCTGGGAGCTTTAGTCCAAGAACATCTGGAGGCCCGATGTTGGGACCACTGGTGTAGAGAATAGAGCAGCTAGAAAACTTGGAGAAGCTCAAGTTGTACTGTGAGACCCATTCTATATTAGTTTCATTGTATTCAGTGGAACCAGCTTGCAGGAACTCTAATACAGTAGTTGAGGGAAGTGAGATATTTAATGCTTGGCATGAGTCAACTGCAGAACTAGTCCAGGAATCTAACCCTATTTTGAAATAAATTCAGATAATTACTTTAGAGTATAGAAATACCTCAGAAAGGTTGCTTATACATGCTCCCAACTCTGGAAGGAATAATGGTATTTTATGAAATCAATGTGTGATTTATTGAAATCAATAATTTGTTTGTATGCATATTCTTTAATTAATAGATTACTCATTAGTATATTTACCTTGGGGAATGGAAAAAGAAAAAGCAACTAACACTTTTTTCAATTGACAGAACCTTTTATGTAAAAGATATTTTATATTAATATATATGTATAACAATCAATGTATGGGAAAGCATATTGAAAAATCAGTATTGGGAAATAATAATGGTTAGAATTAATTGTTAAATTAGTAAATTTCATTAAATTTTAATGGAATCCACCCATACTTGGACTGTTTCCCTGAAGTTAATGAAAAAATAAACAGAATATAAATTCTAGGTAATATCATTTATAGAGGCATGTAAGAAGGAAGATGGATGAGAGATTTCCCTGCAGTCTGGTTTAAAATGTCGAGGTATGAACTAGGCCAGACCCTGTTTTTCTCTCAGATCAGACAAAACTGGGTGTGCTCAGAATGCTATACACTAAATGTCTTAATATGTAGCAAAATGTATTTCTTACATGGAGAGATAAATACTGTCTGTGGCAAAAAGCACGAGGAAACAATGGGGTAAGAGCAGAATGCAGGCAAGTCCCATCTCTCGTCTCATTACACCATTACCTTGTTTTGAGTTTTTTTGAAGTCTAATATGTACAGCAGAAGTTTCATGTGGAATAGAGAAAATTTGTTGCAAAAAGTAACAGGTAATCTGTCTCCACTTAGACTCCCATCAAAATGAGGGATGTAAAATCACGGGTTGCTCCATCATTGCAATTACATGTCAAGGAGAGCTGGGCTTCAAAGGTCTGGACAGACTTGGACCCCAATGTCAGGCACAGAAATGCTAATTTTTATTATGATTCCTAGCCAAAGAAAAAATAGACCATTCCAGTGCTTGTTTCAGTACCTTGGTTGCTGGCATGCAAATCTCAACAGCAGACATGTGGCAGAGGAACACAGTTAAAAAGAAGTGGCATGAAATATAGCTGAAAGCCATGTAATCTCTAGAAAACAACTATGTATTACAGATTGTTGTTAAAAGAACATGGAATCTGTTAGTGTTCCAGAGAAAGGATTCAAGCTGGGCTTCTTGACTGAGTAATTGTATATAAAATGGAAGCGGATTTTAGGTCCAGAAGACAAATCACAAAAGAAAGGAAGTGAATTTGCAAACTGTGGGGGGTGAGGTAAAGTCTAGCTATGACAATCTCATGTCTTTTGATAATCCACAAATGGTCTATTCTTATGGACAGGTGATCCATACTGTATAATTGGACCCAGAAAGGGAGACATTTCAGAGTCTTGTATGATTGATTCCACTAATAGTCATAATTACCACTAACAGATTAAGTTCCTTAAACATTTCACACTGCAGTTCAGCTTTTCATTGCAGACTGTGAAGCTCATTCTAAAAAGTCAGCATACTCAAAACTAAGATTTAGCACTCTCTTATGGAGGTAGGTCAGATGCCTTTTACCAGATGCTTCAGTTTGTATGCTAAGACCAGTTATTTCTTGAAGAAGAAAAAGGACAGCAAGAAGAATTAATATTTCACAATTGAACCAATCCCTTTCTTCATGCAGAAGTGGATTTTATGAAAAGTAGTTGTTCCTTTGTTTTGAAAATCAACATTCTAAAATACACAAGGAACCTCAAGGAGCTATCATTTTCAGACAAGCATTCTGTGTGGATGTGGCAACAGGAATGGGTGATGAATGGATGAATGGGAGAAATACCCTTTCCACCATGCATGGTTTAACTTACGTTGGAAAAGTGGCTATTTGAGACTGCAGCTCACACAATAGCGAACAATGTTTGACTCATTTCCTCTTAGGGTGTTTTTCTGAATAAACTGAGGACATTCCTCTGAACAAATAACATCGCTCAGACTTTTGGAAAAAACTGGAAATTTCAAATGCAAACTTACCATTGGTCATTGTGATAGGTGGTTCAGGGGTCACTGTAAAAGCTGAATAAGACAAGAAAAACAAAACATATTTTTTGCAAGTAACCTTGAACTTAAAATAAAAATTAATAGCCAGTGAATATTTAACATTGCACAGAAACAGTTTTAAACCCTCCATAATATATCATAACTTAACAGACATTAGAGATTCCAGGGAGTTGAGTTTTATAATATTTTTTAAATAAAAGCACTTAGTTTTCTGAACTACCCTCAAGAACTTAGTGCACAGCCTGAGGAAGACAAATTATCACTAAAAGCTAGTGGTCTGATCTTTGTCTGATTTTTAGTGGCCTAATAAAGTTACCATCTGCTCCTGTATTTGTATCATTTTGGACAGCCCTTTTCTGATTTTCTATGAACTTTGTAAGATCCCCTTGAATGGTCTGGGCACCACTTGAAGAACAACATGGATTCTTGAACAACATGGTTTCTTGACACCAAGCGAGTAGTACTGCATGCTGAAGAAAGTATGCACCAGCTAAAACTACCAATTTGGTTTTGATTTGGCTAAAATTGCATGTTCCTGTTGGTTGAACTAAAGTTTAATCCCAGCTTTGATGGAGGCTTGCCATGCTTCTGTGTTTAGCGTGTTTTGCCTAGCCAAATAGTTTCAAAAAGAAGACAAAGAGGGAGGTGAGGGGGATGCAGTCTTCTGGCAGTTCTTTGTTTAAAGAGATGGGTGATAAATTCCAAACTGCTGGCTGGGGGGGAGTTTGAAATCACACAATCCCCTCACAAGCCTTTTGCAGTATGCCTCTGTACCCATCTCGAGAAGTTGACCTAGCCTCAACAATGGCCATGAAACCTCCAGATTTTAACAAAAGTATATAATTTTCTGATCTACACATGCAAAGATGGTGCACAGTCTGAATATGGATTCTCACCAAAAGCTAGCTATCTGTTGTTTGCTTAATATTCTTAGTGGCTTGATAAAGGTGTTACCTGCTCCTGCATCTGCATAGTTATATAATGTTGACAAAAAACAAAGGAGGCCTGGCTAGGATTTATTCCTAACTAATCAGGCAGAATTAAAGCTCCTACATTTCAATTTTGGCAGAGAACAAAACTAATATCACAATATTGGTACTCTAATTTATCCTACAAGCTGAAAAATGAACAAAAATATTAAACTATAGGACGAATGAATATTTGAGTCTTGTGATTACCTCCTGTCTCATAATAGGCAAAAAAGCCTAGACCTTCTTGGGAAGACTCTCTGTGCAACAAAACTGACATCGTGCCGGAAGACGCAATGAATGTCGAGTCAGAACCACTGCATATTCTTCCCAGTTTTGCTGATGTGTCTATCTCTCCATCAAAGATTTCAATATAGTCATGACTGCAGTCTAGTCTATGAAGATAAATTTAAAGATGTATTACTTAACACGGGTCAAAGACACATAATTTCAAACAAGCATTTGAGCTTAGTTTCTTTCCATTCAAAAATTTTGAAGCCTCACATGATGATCTTACTCTCACCTTACAATAGTAAAAAATAATTTATTAAATTTTCTCTCCTCTTCTATTGAATCTTTAAAAATATTAACTGAATTATAACATACATTCTAAGCTGCATAGCTTGTTTGTTCATTTATTTGCTAGTTCATATTATCCTACAGAAACTCAGAACTCAAAGGCCTAAATCATATTGCTATTCCCATTAGATTTAGACAATAAAGCAATGGAGTTATTAGTGAAAAAGCTGGATGTGATCTGATGCATTATGAGAAATCAGAGCTAATATCCTAACTCCAGGTTGTCATATTGACTGGTTTGACCTGGATTCTGGGACCATTGGATTCCCCTTATGTTTCCTAGAAGCCATTCCATCCCCTACTCAATTCTTGCCTGTCCCACCTCCATAAATCAGAAAGGGCCACTGGTTAGTCTAAGGTTTTGCTCCTAAAATCTCAGGAAAGAAGTTGTTGGCCTGGCTCCAACAGCCAGTAGGAGTAGCTACATCACTAGCTTAATGAAGGCAGTTGCCTCAGGAATAGGAGATTCTGAGGGTCTGCCTTAGACAATAGGGAGGCTGACCCACTGCTAGCCAGGCTTGATGTCAGCATATGGCATGTTCAGGTTGCAACAGGATCCTCCATTTCTGACGTATAGTTTCTTGATCCCTTGCCATGTTCTTCCTTGGGCTGCCCCCATATTAGCTTTCCAACTAGCAAATGCAATTCCCATGACACATATGTCTTGATGAATGCATGCCACACTAGCCTTGTATGGCATCTGATGATTCAGTGAAAAGGTCATTCTAGAAGTAAGGGAAAGCTTTAGGATAGAATGCCAGTATTCAGAGTAAAGTGCAAGAAACTAGTACTATGTTTGAACTGCAAATAACTTTATTTCTCCAGCAATTCTGCAAGTATTACAGATTCAAAATTGTGAGGTATTAGCACCCTGTTTTCCCGAAAAAGACCTAACCTGAAAATAAGCCCTAGTATGATTTTTCAGGATGCTCGTAATATAAGCCCTACCTCAAAAAAAAAGCCCGAGTTAAGTGAAACCCCGCTTTCCACCATTGTGCAGCAACCAGATGACATGACTGTATTTGATGAAATGTAGATTGTTGTACATGAAAAAAAAAAAACATCCCCTGAAAATAAGCCCTGATGAGAATTTTGGAGCAAAAATTAATATAAGACCCTGTTTTCTTTTCAGGTCAACATAGTATTTGGCAACTTCTCTGCCTTTGCAGGAGCCCTGTCTCTCCAGAGAGCTCCCACTGATCACACAAGTCTCCAGAGCCAACTGTTCCTGAATGCCTGATTTTGAGCTGCCTCAGACAATAGAGAGGGTGACAGCTCGCTCTCCTCTTTCTTCTTCAGGAGGGGAGAAGAGAATGTCATTGTGTTCTTTCATTCTGCTGGCTTGCGAATGGAGCCTCTCTCATTTGATGGTTGTTGTGGGTTTTTCGGGCTCTTTCGCCGTGTTCTGAAGGTTGTTCTTCCTTATTCTGAAGAACAACCTTCAGAACACGGCCAAAGAGCCCGAAAAACCCACAATAACCATTAGATCCCAGCCGTGAAAGCCTTCGTGAATACCTATCTCATCTCTTTTGGACTGGCCAAATGCTTTCCTGGTAGGCACATGGGCATAAGCTCTGCCAGGTGGTGGACTCAGCTGTTGCTTCATCACCTTCTGTTACCACATTGTCCTATTCTATGCTTTTTGCTGCCATGACAGGAGGGGAAGCTGTACTTCGCTTCAGACTGCAAGCAGTCTGCCATTATTCAGAGTAAAATACAAGAAACTAGTACTGTGTTTGAACTGCAAATGCCTTTATTTCTTCAGCAATTCTGCAAGTATTACAGATTCAAAGTTGTGAGGTATTAGTATTTGTGTATGCTTTGCAGAAACTGTAAGGGAGTAGAACTGAGCTGAAAATTAGCGGAAAACTCCTAAGAGCAAAAATGGCTCAGCAGGGGAATAAACTGCCTTTGGAAAAGAGAGGCTCTCCATCACCGAAGGCATTCAGGAAGAGGCTGGATAGCCTTTTCTCAGGGACACACCCTGCATTGTGGATTTGCCACAGAATAATTAAATGGACTGAATGAAGTTCTGTTTGACCAACTGAAAATCAACTTAATTTAATCATTTTGCTCCAACTATATGACTAAATCTGGATCCAGCAGTGTGATCACATCACTCCTCTACTCAAAGTTTTGAACATGAATATCAAACAACCTTTAAAATATATTTCCCAATGATGTATGTTTTCTGCTTATAGCCAAATAAAAAAGAATTGGAAGAAGAAACTGTTGGAGAATAAAAAAAGAAGAATGTAGGAAGCAAGGGGAAAATAACAGAAAAATGGAAGAATGAAAGCAAGGAAGGAAATAGTTTTGAAGTAGAAGTATGTCTAAAGGATCTCCTATTTGAAGCCAAATCTTTTAAAAGTACAAACTAGATGCCAGTCACAGAAAACACTGAAAGGCATTCAACAGAAGAATACTTACTCCACATAATCAATGCTTATCTTTATAGGAAGATTATTACTGGGCTGGATTTTCCAAAGACACTCCAAGATTTTTCTGTCTCCATCATAATATGTACCAGTAAATGAGCCCTCTGGATCTGAGAAAGTCTGGCCACAGCTATAGGCTTTGGGGGGGAAAGGTTTAAATATTATTAATGTATTTGAAAAGAAACAAATGGATCCACGCAGCAATCTTCCTTTTTCATCCTGATCAAAAGGCTGATTCTCATAAGCACAGGAGTGCTGTGTGTCTCAACGTGTTCATTCAGTCGTCTCCTGCAGTCAATTTTTTATGACTTGGGTAATTATATGGTTCCTCCCCCTTTCTTGCGGTTTGTCTGATTGACCAGTAATGTGTGACATTGTGTGAAAGCCATGGTAGCCATGGGATGAAAGGAAGACATCTTTAACTACTCAAATTGCTGCATGTAACATCTTCCAGTGGGAAAGGCTTTCGGTTGTACTCGAGGTGTAGCTTGTGCAACAGGATTAACAACGTGCTATAATTTTTATGGAGGAGAAAGGATGGTACTTACCAGATGTAGAAGGAACATCTTCAGCAGAATTTAGTAATAAAAAGAATAAAGAAAAGAAGGGGAGAAAGCTTGTTAGGGAAATCTTGAAATATTGTAGCAAATGCAGTTTCACTGAAGTCTGCTCTAGAAAGTTAACCTACAGTGTCACATATTATGGGGAATGCATGCTACTTACCAGTTGCAGGCAACATTCGGACATTCAGTTCTTTAAAAAATAAAAGAAGAGAGAGAATATTTGGTTATTTATTTATTCGATTTATATCCCGTCCATCTGGTATATTTTACCACTCTTAGTTTAGAAAGATCATGTTACAGACTATTTTATCCCTCACCACTCTTACTCAGAAAAGCCATATGAATTGAATATGAACTGAATGAAATTACTGAGGAGGCAGGTTTGAAGGGGCATGCAATTTTTATGTTTGTTAAAAAGAGAGCATGAATTAGAAAAAGTTGAGAACCACTGTTCTAGGAGAATATTGCTCTCTCTGTGTATACATGTGTGTGTGTCTGTCTGTCTGTCTGTCTGTCTCTCTCTCTCTCTCTCTGTGTGTGTGTGTGTGTGTGTGTGTGTGTGTGTTTCTACGTATACTCCTCCTCCTCCTCTACTTGATGGCTGCCACTATAATCTATAAAAACACAGGAGAAAAATGCCAATGCCTATGGAACAAGCTATATTTGTTACTGATAATAAAGCTTCTATCAGATTGGTTTTCTTTTTAAATGATGCCTTTCATCAAGTATTGTAATTTTAAGCAACTGTACAAGGAAGCAGAATACGTGAAAAAATTATATATTGATATGGATTAGTTGTTAATGAAAATATATAAAAATGTAAAGAATGAAACAAGGTGCTTGTAAGGTGTATTGAGGATCTTGGGGGATCATACTGGATGCCCCAGACAAAAAACTGGACCTTTCATGACTGGCCACCTCTATCTGGTATCTAGAAATCCAAGACTATTTGAGAAGTGGTACAATGTTAGCCCTTTCTTGGATGTACACCTTAACATGGTGAAAGGGACTGAATTTGTCAGTGAAGCTGAGAGCAATCAGGAGACCAGACTCCATTTGAGCCTGGAATCCCAGCAAGATCACCCAAGATGGAATGGTCACAGCTGAGATACCAGACTAAGGTGCACCCACCCTTTTAAAGGCTGCTATTAGGCAGCAGCAGTAGCTGGTGGTAACACTGGTGGAGGAGGCAACAGTGGTGGCACTCAAGCTAAGTTTTGCTAGTGATGCACAGAAGGTGGCAATGTTAAAACCCTATAGCTCAAGCTAAGTTTTGCTAGTGATGCACAGGTGGCAATGTTAAAACCCTATAATGAGAAAGTACAAAATGAAATAATGTAGTGTCAGAAGATGAGTGCAGTATCTATAGGAACATTGCTTTAATTTCTCATGCAAGCAAATGATGCTCAAGGTGTTGCAGCAAAGCCTATTACTTTATATGGAGTGAGAAATGACTGACGTTCAAGCTGGATTTCAAAAATGAAGAGGCACTCAGGATCATATTGCAAATGTCCACTGGCTACTGGAGCACGCCAAAGAATTTCAGAAGAAGAGACGCCAAAGAATTTCAGAGGAAGATCAGTCTATGCTTTACAGAGCACGATAAAGCCTTGGACTTTGTGGATCAAGAGAAACTATGGATTGTACTGAAAGAAATGTGTGTGCCTTAGCACTTGAATGTCTTGATGTGTAGTCCATATTGTGGACAAGAAGTTACTATTAATAAAGAATATGGAGAGGCAGAATGCTTTCCTATACACAAAAATTTCAGAGGAAGATCAGTCTATGCTTTACAGAGCACGATAAAGCCTTGGACTTTGTGGATCAAGAGAAACTATGGATTGTACTGAAAGAAATGTGTGTGCCTTAGCACTTGAATGTCTTGATGTGTAGTCCATATTGTGGACAAGAAGTTACTATTAATAAAGAATATGGAGAGGCAGAATGCTTTCCTATACACAAAAGTGTCAGACCAGACTGCATTGTATCCACGTATTTGTTCACTCTGTCCACAGAACACATCATAATGCAAGACAGAGTAGATTCAGATGAAGGAGGAATGAAAATTTGTGGAAGAAACAGCAATAAGATGAGACCATCTTCCTGGCAGAATGAAGCAATTATTTAGAAGAATTTTTAGGATTGCAGCTGAACATGAAGACAAAAATCATGAGTACAGAAGCATTACACAACCTTAATGGTGACAAGGTAGGGAAAGGAAGGTGGTGGGGGACAGGCTGTGGTATGGGTGGTTATTTGAGGTGCTGACTGCCTTTCTGCCGCCGATCAGCTGATTGGTGGTTGTTAGGCAGAATGTTTTTTTTAATATGAAGGATGAAAAAAACAACAGGTAAATATTTGTCCCTTCGTATTCGTGGGGGTCTCTGGAACCCACAAATACGGATCAACGAATATTTAATGAATCGGCTATGTTTGTTGGAAAAAGCAATCCATTTTTATATTCATCTCCATCTCTGTTTGTATACCTTGGTCCAATAATCAAATCAAATGGAGAGGGCTGCCAAGAAATCAAAAAGAGACTAAGACTTGAGATGGGCAGCAATGGAGGTGTTTGAAAAGACCATCAAATGTACGTGTCAATGGAGACAAAGACCAAGACGATCCACATTCTTGTATTCCTGATCACAATGTATGAGTGTGAAAGCTGGAAAGTAAAGAATGCTGACAGGAAAAAAAAGAATCATTTGAAATGTAGTGCTGCCAGAAAGACAAACAAGTGGGTATTAGAGCAATTTTAGCCTGAACTAATTCTGGAGGCAAAATTGATAAAATTGAGGCTGTCCTGCTTTGGACATGTTGTGAGAATGCAGGATTTTCTGAAAAAGACAATAATGCTGGGAAAGGTAGAAGACAGCAGGAAAAGAACAAATATGTGATAGATCAACTCCCTAAAGAAACTATAGGTTTGAGTGTACAAGAGCTGAGCAGGACTTTTGAGAACAGGAGATTCTGGAGATCTCTCATTCAACATTCCCCATAAGCTATGCAGATACATGGGAGCTAGAACTTCTCACGCAGGGGGTGGAGCCTCCACACAGAGCTCTGGAGAATTAGAGAGAACATTGCTCTCATTCACAGGCTTGTAATCAGTCGGAGGCAACATAATGGCATGTGACAACAGCCACATACTGCTACAGTTTGAACTGCAGGTGCTTATTGTGAATTGTAATGACAGCTACCACATTCCTAAAGGTGAATTCAAAACTGCAGAAATCAATATGTGCATACCTACTGTCCATAGTATAATAAAGAACTGATTAAAATGAGCTGACTGACCTATTTTAAGGTTCTTTGCATTATAACAGGATAGCTGACGAAAATTGTTGCTGGGAAAATCTCGGGGGGGAGGAGTAGGTGTACTTCTGAGAAGATTGTGGCTGAGCACTGAGGAAACAGGTAGAACTGAGGGCCCAGCTGGACCTTACAATCCCTGCTGACCAAAACTTCCCAACATTATGATCACCATGAGCCCAGTCCATGCGACGTTGCTGTACCTGAGCAGGAGACACCAGCGTCTTCACTGTGGGAACAATCATGGACTCCCCAGCCTCTGTGGGTACAATGGTCTAGACGTTCTTCACTCCCACGGCAGACAACATTATCCATAAGAACTGCACCCAAGCCTGAGCCATATCGAGCACTACCAGGTGCTGAGAGAGCAACTCCACATTCGAGCTGTCTGCACACTACTCGTGCATTGTCCATCTGCCATAAGTCATCACAGACCGTCCCCCACCTTCCATTGTAGTACACTTCCACCCGTCCTTCGCATCTGTGTCTTCCATTGACTAGTCTAATTGCTTATCAGAAAGACAAAACAGAAGCCAAAGTTTCTAATTAGACAGGGCAAATCCCAAGGTATCAGAGATTCATGTAACTCACACAATCCTCTGTGGTGCTCCCTTGACTTTGTGAAAGCACTATTATAATCACATGATCAGCATGCTGGGTCATATGAACTGTAAGTGCGATTGCTGTCTACCATCCATCCAGCAATCTATTTATTGCAATGTCGAAACTAGTTTTTGTCAAAATTTACTTCACCCTCAAAACATCTTACAAAACATGATTTTTAAACCATGTTCAAAGAGCAAACCTATCATTTGTGGATGCTCTTATTAAATCTTTTTATGATGATATTTCCACTCAGGAATGCCTAGGATAATAACTACCTTCATTTTACAATAAAACAAGAAGCTTTACTTTTGTTACTTTATAGTACCTTTCCAAAGAATGATGAAACATCCACCAAAGCTATCTCTTAGATTCCTTTTTTATTCTAAAAAGACTCAATGAGTGTCACAGGAATCAAAGATAACAAAAAAAACTAGGCAGAAAAACTCTGAAAAACAAGTCATAGGTATAGTCAACTGAGACTATTGGGGTATTTTAAAATTGATAATTCACATTTCACACAAAGAACTAGGAGTAACTAGCCATCTTGTTTGCCAGATGCACTAGGTTTTCTGTCTTTTTAAAAATAAAACATTGATCTAAATACAATAATAAATAACTATAATTACCATTTTGTCCTCTCGTTGTATAAGCTGCAAGGAGAAAAATTCAGACATTGTAAAACTTTTTAAATAATGTAATATTTTTTTATTTTTACAAAATCAGTTAAAAAACACTGAATTGTCCTAAGAGCAGTATTTAATAATGTCTAACTGAAATGGCAATGTGATATTTCACAGTCATTATTCTTCTGTTTTATTTCCTTTACCTTACTACCTGCTGGAAATCCAATAGCAATGAAACAAGCCACCATCCTGCCACCTAACCTCAGTGTGCCTCAGGTTTCACAGCCCCTCTGGATTGCTATGGGGCCAAACATAGTTCATTGAAGGCAGTCTATAGATTCCAGTGTACATTCTCAGCACATCTATCCTCTTACTATATAACAACTTTTGCATGGAGCCATCATCTGACTCTGTGAGAAGAATCCTCCCCTATAAGCATAGGCTTTTCTCAACCCTTCATCTTACAAATTGGTGTTTCTGGTTTTGTGACTGAGTAAAACTCCATTACTGCAGGACAATCATGCCACCTGCTTCTAAAGATAAGCTGAAAATTATGTGCGGTTGATCACAAACTTTCTTGTTTCTGTGCCTGTCACATCAAGGATAGAATCTGATGCTTACACTTTTTTTAAAGACTGATGTCCAGAAAAAAAAAATCTGAAGTTGTAATGGCAGCTCAAGTAGAAACAATTTCAGTACAAATAGTTGCTATTTATTGAATATAGGAGAGAGGAAATGACTTGTTTATTTTTCAGAGCTACTGGACTAGGGTAATTACTCAGAATTTATTTTAAAATTTGTTTTGTTGATTTTGCTGGATGGGGACTCATTTCCACAATCCAACCATCATGGTCCAAGCACTTAAGTTTTAAGCCACAGAGATTTATGTCACGATTGAACAGACCTAGACAAATAATTTCATCTGAAAATGTTTACTCAACCTCTTAATGACCTCTTATGTCAAAAACCACTTTCAGGCTTCTAGTGAAGGGGATTAAATAAGTTCCATTACAAACTTTCCTTTCTCCAAGACCCAGCAGTATTGCCACTTAGAAGATGTGTTAACTATTCATTTGGCTCTGACACATTGGACCATCCAAATATTCTCCTCCCCCCAATGATTACAAACTAAATGTAATAATTAGTATTCTAGCAAGGACTTACATCTCCATCACCTAAAGTAAATCATTACTTAGTCCTAGCAGAACAAATTAGTTATGACTAGTTTTCAATAGAATTCAAGTCTGATCCATTCCATGTTTACTAAGATGCAAATTCTTCAGTAGAGCCTACCTCTATATAAGGATGCCTAAGATTTTCTGCTTGTCAAGATATGCTAGCGATCCATTATCTAAAGACCAGATTTATAGAACAACTGGCCAGTTTTCAGCAATGTTGATTCAACTCTTAATTTTACATCTAGCTAATATTACAGTAAAATGCTTAAACACTCCTAATATGAAAATCTTCATGCTTCACCTATGTCAGGGATGGACACCTTGGGATTCACCAGATGCCTTGAGGCAATAGTCCTGTCAGTCCTCATTCACTGATTTTGTTGACCAGGGCTTTTGGTAACTGTGGACTATAAACATCTGCAAGGGCACAAATTTCCCATGACTGAGCCACTGAGGTTTCCCCTTTAACCAAAATGTGTATGTGGTTTTATATTTAAGAAGAAAAAGAAAACAATTATATCCCAGTCCACTACCAACATATTACCTGTAGCTGAAAAGAGCACCCATAGGAAGATCACAGTGCGGTCCATCTTAGGTTAGGATCCCAGGAGAGGAAGTGACCTTCAGGCTGGAGATGCCTGAACATATATAGAGTAGCAAGGTCTGAAATTTGATCTGCCCTTTTTCGTCAGTATACTATCTGGAAAGATACTTCCAGATGGCAAACAATGCTTGATACAGTGTGCCAACAACAGTGGTGCCTATCAATGTCCCTTTCCTTATCTTTGGATTGTTTTTGTACTTGTACTATCTTCAACAAAGCCTAATCTTTTCAATTTCCTTTTTCACCAAGATATATTTTCCAGAAGGAAGTGGGATAAAATAATTGTTAAAAAGAGATGACAGCAAATGAATACTAGCAAGGACAGCCACCACTTTCCCCTGCTCCTCTGTCTTTACAGAAGCATTCAAGGAAAAGCTATAACAGAACACAACATGGTACTATGCTTGGCAAGTGGCAACAACTTACGGGGACAGTTCTATAAGAAATGTTTGTTTCCATTTCGCTTTCTGGCACAGATCCACAGAATCAGTACGAATATTTTGGGGTTCTCTATACTTTTGGTTTCATGAATTCACCCATACCTCTGTATAGCAATGGGTTCTGAAATTTTAAGGAAGAGTCACAAATATTTTGTCATATGCTATGGGAGCTTATAGTTGAAAGGAAGAAAATTTCACTTTAGATGAACCATTGGCTTTCCAGATGCATTGTACTACATCTCCTATTATCACATAAGTGAGGTCAATGAAAATTATGGGCCAAAAATCTGATTCCTCAACCCTACCTTAGATGCTGTTAAAGTAAAACTCTAGATCATGAGCATGTTTCTTCATCAGCCATCCACTTTTGGGTTCTGCGTGAACCCTCTTCAGGTCAGTTAAAGTTGGGTGAAATACCTATAGAGGGGAAATGCATAAGCCCTGCTCCCTTCACTCTGTGTTTTTATTGCTCTTTACATGGACACCAATTGGAAAATTCTGCACAAAAATATGAATGTTTGAAAGAAAAAAAATCCCTTTATCTGTAGAGATTCTCTATGCAGTTTTGAACACTGGAAAATCAGCAGTCAAAGCTCATGGATAGCCTTTCTGGATCCAGCAGATTCACTTCTTTGGAAAGTCACCATGTAGGCACAGAGGGCACATCTGCCCAACAACAGGGATGGAAGGAGAGTCTGGGTTAGTATGCGTCTCCTCAAGTGTGGATTAAATTCCTTTTTAAATGCTTGAAAGTTCTATGGCCTCCTGAATAGTTACACAAAATATTAAGTACTCAAAATTTAACCTTCCCCATGACTCAAGGATGGTGACAACCACTGATGCAGAATGGAAAGGCATGAACCAACTCTATGAGAAGCATTGCTTTGGCTTTCTAGAATTCCTGTTCTATAAGCCCTTTTCTTACAGTTTAATTGGCATGTGAGAACAAAAAGGATTGGTAGATTCATCATGAAGTGCCCTTGCCAAAATGACAGCATAAAACATTGTGCTGGAGATGAGATTCAAGGAGCAAGGATCTGATCTCGATTCTCCCTGCTCATATTGGATATATGTTTGGTTATATCTATATGAAAGAGATTAATCAGAACCAGCTTGTAAAGAAGGAGGAGAAGCAAATGCATCTAAGATAGAAGTTGAGAAGAGCCCATGTTCTGGTTCCATAATGACCAGCCAAATGATGAACGGCACCCACCTGCTTGTATTCCCCAGCAACTGACATTCAGAGCCATGCTGCTTGTTTGATCCTGGGTTAGCGTACAGTTTGCCATGGCCAGCTGGCACTGAGAGTCCCACCTTCCCGTGCACAGTGGGACTTTGTCACCCTTGTGTTTTTTTGTTCCCTTTTGTTTTTGTCTTATACATATGTAATTCTAATACTGTATATTGTATTTTAAATCTATGGCTGAAGAACACATGATGGTGTTTTGGTGCTGAAGCTGAGAATTCTGATCCATTTAGCTGATAGATTTGCTTGAATCATGAAGTAAGCTCAGCTCTTCGAAAGAGGAGCAGAATGCATGTCTATTGAAAAATGCCCTGTGTATTCAGCACTTAAGTGTATACAGTAAACTTATTTTTCTAGTTTTTACCACCCCTTTAATCTACAAAACTTAATCTCATAGAATATATATTTTTAATCTTCCAGGAAAGCCAAAGAAGTCTGTAATCTTCACCTTCACAATGTCAGTTGCATAAGGGAACTTCAAACAAAAGACCAATCTAAGTTTCACTTTCCTGAGAGTGGCAAATACATGCCAAATTCTCTCTCTCTTGATTTTCTATGGAACATAGTGATTCTATAAACATTGTAAAGAGGAACAAGGAACATCTTAGTTAATGAAGTGGTGTTGTTTTAGAATAATGCACAAAAATGTCACATTCAACCAGTGTCTTCTATGCTTCTGAATATCTGCTCAAAGAAACCAGCTTAAAATAATTTAGATATTGTTATTTTAGAAAGATTATATAGCAAATCCAAACAGAAAAAAGGTTTTTTTAAAAAAATAAAAATAAAGCAAGCTTCAGCCAGCCAGCTGTACAACTATATTAAGAGAGTTTTTAAAACAAACTAGGACAAATAAGCACTATGCTAATTTAACTTTTGAACTACTAGCAAAGGTTAGTAGTACAAATTGTACTACTAACAATTTGTCCGCCTACCAGATAATGAATCTATGGTAAAATTATGCATTCCATATTGTTTCTTGTTGGGTCTAGCTGTTTGTCTAATTTACTATAGCTACAGCTAGAGGTTGAGTTCAGGTCTGTGAGTGTCTCTCATCTATGTAATAGAAGAGGGGCAGGTTATGTCCCAGTGGCATGTTACAGATTCTTCAGTTTTGAACAGAAATAGATAGCATCCTCTAGGATGCACATCTTGAAATGAGGAAGAGGTTTGAGTGTTTCAGGAAAGCTAAGAGCAATACAATCAAGAGGCTAAACTCTCTTATAAATCTAGATTCCTGGCAGAGTCACCCCTGCCTGAATGATCAAAGCTGAGATGCATCCACCTTCTTCAGGCTTAACAGTCAGACAAACAGAATGGGCAGTTTCAGTCGTGATGGGGGGGGTTGGAGAAACCTTTGAAGGGCAGCTTCTGGGTAGTAGCAGCAGTAGTAGGTGACACTGGTAGAAGATCCTTCATAGAGAATGGCAATGACGCTCAATTCATTTTAGGAGTGTGCAGAAGGTGGCAATGGTAAGTCACTTGTAAATATAAATATGTGTCTATAATGCAGAACCTCAACATCATCATGTTGAAGGTTGAAGTAAAGGTGTGATAGGATCCATAACATACCCTTCCAAGCAGTGGAGACGTGTGGAGTGGTCCATCATAGATTTCTATGAAATAGCATGGGCAACTGTACTTGTCAAATAATTCTAGTCTGGAAACAACAAACATGGAGTTGATTTGCATAGATAATATACAGTACTAACTTGAATATCATGAAGCAGAATCAACATTTACAATTAATTCCATATTTCTAGAGGTGGACACTATTTATTTCTTCATTGGGAACATAATGCTAAAGAAATATTCCCCAGATCAGGGCTGGGTCAACTTTGTTTCAGATCAAGCACCTCATTGAGTGTCTTGTCAGGGATTGCATGGGATAGGGGGACAACGACAATTTAGAGGGGATATATTGTTTACCTTTGGTTGACAATGTGACAAATACTAATACAGAAGCATTTCATTTCCTTCCTTATTTTTCCATTGCTAATATTTACCAGCACAGTGCTCCATTCCCCATACGCATTAAGTGAAGTAAGTGAGGACTTAGATCGATAAACTGGAACTGAAAAAAATGGACTCCCCAAAAAGGCCTAATCTGGGCGATCATGACTGAATAAATGTTTTTACAATGCACCTGGAGTTACAAGGCACAATTCAAGGCAGGGTAATTTCCAAACAATCTTCAGCCATGGGTTCTTTCTTCTTTCTCGAAATTAACTATTGGCCTCAACTGTGTATGATAAGAAAGATGCCCTTGATACAAAAGTTGAGGATATAATACTCACATACGACACCAATGATAGAAGAACAAAGAATGTGGTGGTCATTTTTTGAGAGAATATATTTTGGCATGTGTATAGGTCCACTGACTCCATGCTTCTCCAGAGAGGTGGTGAAGAAAAGCATGAAGACTTCAGACTGTGACTCAAGGAGCTTGGATTCAGCCATGGTGACATTGGACAGCTCCAGTCAAATATGGTATCTTCGAGCAACAAGTGAACCACCTTTTGAAAAATATGCATTTGAACTATGCATGTATACTGTAATAATATTTTCTTCAAGACTGATTTTGACATGAAGAGTGGATAGCATTTTGTATTAGACATCTACTTAAATTAAATTTTGGATAGTAAGTGTAACATGGATGTTGCCTCCTACTTGTGCTTCCCACACACAGTCAGCATTGTTGAGAGGATAAAGTGGGCTTTGGAGTGTCCCAGATGGATGTCTGAGGCAACTGCCACAATAATAATTTATTGCTGAAGGTAAGAAAGCAGTGTAAAACACAGAACACATAATGTCTTGGAGGATGGGGATATGATCAGTTTAAAGTGTAACACATCTAAGTGTCTACACTTGATCATTTCTATAATCCAGAACATAAAGTTCCATCTTGTCCTTATTTCTGAGGGGAAAATATTTCAGTGTTGTTCTTTCAGTCTTGCCCAGTGATTTGAAATTGGGCTTGGTTGACATTGATTCATTAATCCTGGTGTCCAGAGACAGAGAGTCAATAAAATGTGACAGGTGTAAATGCACTAGCTCCCATGTTCCTGTGGATGCCGGGCACCACCCTCAATCTGTCACAAAAGAGTCAAAATGGGAATCAAACAGGCAAAACTAGATAAAACAATTAGCAAGATCCCTTAAGAATTGAGGGGTGATTGTTTGTCTTAGCTTGAGCTTGTCTCAATCCACAAAAATGGACTGCTTTTGTTTTATGGCTGATCATTGAGAGCTAAACATAGGCTTCAGTTGACGGTCTCATTGTTCAGGCACAGGGTTTTGAACAAATTGTCCACCC